TTTTTTTTTTAATTTTTAAAAGTTCTAAATCAAATCATATTTTAAAAAATGAAAATATGTTGGGTTATTTTTTTCGAGTGCTGACAAAACGCCAGAATAATTTTGGGGGGTATGATATCGATAACTTAAGATATTGTCGCACATGATTTTTAAAAAAATCAATGGTATTTTTAGCGGTATACATCATAACAGAATGGAGAATATAATACAGTGGATTGTCGCCAAGCGCCTTAACAATTTAATTCAGTTTAATCATTGTGATGATTATTAATAAAGGATATTAAAGAATTATGAACAATATGTAGAAAGTACGACACGAGCAAAAAAGATATTAACTTAATTGAAACAACTGTTGTTAAATTTGATAATATCTCATTCGTGCAACAGTTTGTGAAATGTTATCTGTGGCTGGGTAATTAGTGTAAAATATATTGGTTCAATGCAGACTGGGTTAGGAAATGAACTTGCAACCACATGCCCCCTAACATGTTTGAAATGTTATTAATTTATGCCGATAAGAGCAAATTTATTGATTTTCAAGATAAGATATCTAAGATACCCAATTACAGTTGCGTATTATGTGAATGATTTTTTTTTTAATTTTTAAAAGTTCTAAATCAAATCATATTTTAAAAAATGAAAATATGTTGGGTTATTTTTTTCGAGTGCTGACAAAACGCCAGAATAATTTTGGGGGGTATGATATCGATAACTTAAGATATTGTTAACTGAAAATCAAAGATATGATAAAATCCACTGAGATGTACAGTTTCCTTTGCTCCTAAGTATATATTTGGAATACAACACAGCGGTGTAGCAACTACGTGGCGCAGCAAGCGATCGCTCTGACACTTTGAAACCGTGTTACTGGACGACCCAGTGTGGACATTATGGTTTATTGTTCGATATCGTTGTGTTTGTTTATTACATTAGTTTTAAAGATATATGGGTTTGATCACAAGGATCAAACTGGGATTATATCAAAGAAGTTTTTAATTGTTTCAGAAAAGGCTTGAAAATAATAATTTAATTGGGTAAAAACGATATTATCTACCAAAACAGTTAAAATAACCAATAATCCTACAGCTCAAATATTTAATCTCAGGGTATTTATAAAAGAAATATATCTGGTTTTGCATCAGTAGTAGAAGAAGAAAGAACTATCTAGCCTCCAAACAAAAACAAACCCACATGGGTACAATTTGTGACGCCCATTTCTGGTGTTCCCTGCAGTGATATTGCTAGAATACTGCCACAAGCGCATTCGTCACCACTCGCCCCTTTCCGTAACCTGCTTGTACCGGAATAACACGAGTTGGTCACGAATGCTACAAGCGGTGTAAAACCGAACTCACTCACTCGGAAGATATGTCGAAAAGGGGAAACAAGCTGGAGTTACGGGAAGATGCTAGGATTAATAAGCAGTTTTATAATGACATATGCAAATATACTGCCACATGCACAAAGCTTTGTAGCTCACCTGATTTTGCTGGAATATTTTCAAAATAATAGAACTATTTATAAACTAAATTAACACGAAAATGCCGAACTTATTAACAGAAGTTGCAATACAACAAAACGACATGCATATTCCAGAGACACCCATACTGGGATAATAAGCAGTAAATATTGCGCCCTGTAAGCGTAACAATAATGAATGGACGTAAATAATATCCATTTGACACTCAGGCATATGGATGATTAAATGGAAACTTTAAGTTTGATTTGTATGATATTTCTGTACCAATAAGAAATATAATCAATGTTCGGGAATTCCATATCAGATTTCTTTAGAGGAGGACGTTTCCAAATTTGACGCATGAATGACAAAACTGATGTCCGATGCAATTCCCTATTTTGGCTTGTACCATATGTTCAGTTGTCTATTCAGCGGAACATTTGACATGCCTTTGCATGTGTTTATGACGGTGTCACCGGTGGGGCAGGGTACGATCACATTTTCGCGAACAGCTGGTATCTTTACTATTTGATAGGGGTCGCTTTTATCTATTATTGATACGTAAAAGCTCACCAATACTACAGCTGATTGACGGCGACCTGTACACAATCGAGGCTGGACCGGACAATCCAGTGATTGACATCATGAGCATCGACCTACGCAATTGGGATACGATGACATGCATCAACCAAGTCAGTGAGCTTGACCACCCGATCCCGTTAGTAGCCTCTTACAAGCCGAGTCGCCATTAACGGCAAGCATGGGTTGCTGAAGACCTTTTCTAACCCGGTTTTCATCGGGAAGAAAGTTCGAACTGAAAATATACTCTTACCAGCACAAAACTGTCAATATTGTCTTGATAATGTATGTCACGGATTGATATATATTAGCGTGTATATGATTTATCACGAATATTTTGTATATACCTTACACTCGTATTATCGTACATGTAATTTCTCGATGTATATAGTCATACCTATATATTATGTAGACCTTCAGACTCAAAACAATACTGCTAATATTTTCATTGCGGAGCAATGACTCGCATCCAACCGGATATTGTCATACAACTCTTTTCCGTGTATACGTATACACATTTACATCATTTATAAGCATAAAAAATATATTAATTTAAATGATAAGTCATAACCCTGGCGCACTGACGTCACACAATAGAAGTACTATTAGATAATTAGACGATGTCCATCATTTGTCATTGAGGATTGCTGATTGACGCCCCAAGTGGCATGCCACCAGTCATGCATATCAAGTCTTAGCATATCAAGTCTTAGCATATCAAGTCTCAGCATATCAAGTCTTATATCATTATCTGTCAGATATGCAGAAATGTCAATCAAGTCTAAGTCAGTTTATACGACCCGTGAAGATTCCGGGGTAGAATAGGTCTTCAGCAACCCATGCTTGCCTCCCCGTGAAGATTCCGGGGTAGAATAGGTCTTCAACAACCAATACTTGCCTCCCCGTGAAGATTCCGGGGTAGAATAGGTCTTCAGCAACCCATGCTTGCCTCCCCGTGAAGATTCCGGGGTAGAATAGGTCTTCAGCAACCCATGCTTGCCTCCCCGTGAAGATTCCGGGGTAGAATAGGTCTTCAGCAACCCATGCTTGCCTCCCCGTGAAGATTCCGGGGTAGAATAGGTCTTCAACAACCAATACTTGCCTCCCCGTGAAGATTCCGGGGTAGAATAGGTCTTCAGCAACCCATGCTTGCCTCCCCGTGAAGATTCCGGGGTAGAATAGGTCTTCAGCAACCCATGCTTGCCTCCCCGTGAAGATTCCGGGGTAGAATAGGTCTTCAACAACCAATACTTGCCTCCCCGTGAAGATTCCGGGGTAGAATAGGTCTTCAGCAACCCATGCTTGCCTCCCCGTGAAGATTCCGGGGTAGAATAGGTCTTCAGCAACCCATGCTTGCCTCCCCGTGAAGATTCCGGGGTAGAATAGGTCTTCAACAACCCATACTTGCCTCCCCGTGAAGATTCCGGGGTAGAATAGATCTTCAACAACCCATGCTTGCCTCCCCGTGAAGATTCCGGGGTAGAATAGGTCTTCAACAACCAATACTTGCCATAAAAGGCGACTATACTTGTCGTAAAAGGCGACTAACGGGATCGGGTGGTCAGGCTCGCTGACTTGGTTGATACATGTCATCGATCCCAATTGCGTGGATCGATGCTCATGATGTCATCACTGGATTGTCTGGTCCAGACTCGATTATTTTACAGACCGCCGTCATATAGCCGGAATATTTCTGAGTGCGGCGTTAAACAACAAACAAACAAACAATCAATCATTTATACTTGCCCATTCAAATGAATCTGTAAAATATTCATTGTGTACATTGTCCAATCAGAATGTAGTACGTACTTCTGTAAATGCTGCAAATGTATTCGCTATCATGTATAACACTGACTGTATACATTGCCGTTCGCGAAATACGCATATGCCGGAAAGAGCACGTTAAAACCCAAACTATATTATAAGTAAGTTAAGCAAGTACTGGTATGGGGAGAGGCACGGTCCGGGTGGCGGTCGACTCACGGGACTCGAGACCCCCGGTCTTGGTCGATTCCTAACAGAGTCTGTGTGATAAAGGCTCGACATACAATAAGACTTATTACGTCTCATGTTCGATCCCATATGGTGAGTGAGTGAGTGAACGAGTGTACGAGTGAGTGAGTGTACGAGTGAGTGAGTGAGTGTACGAGTGAGTGAGTGAGTGTACGAGTGAGTGAGTGAGTGAGTGTACGAGTGAGTGTACGAGTGAGTGAGTGTACGAGTGAGTGAGTGAACGAGTGTACGAGTGAGTGAGTGAGTGTACGAGTGAGTGAGTGAGTGTACGAGTGAGTGAGTGAGTGAGTGTACGAGTGAGTGAGTGTACGAGTGTACATAGACGTACGTGGTATAAGTAACTAATACTATTTTGCTGATATTTGGACGAAAGGAATTTGGCGTATTTGCTTTTCATTTTTTTAAAACCACGTTCCATGGCAGCCAGGGACCCCACTGAGGAAGTTGACACCGTTTTGAACATTTCAGTTAAATCACGGGGTATCAACTTCATGTGGGAGGAAGTGATGCAGGCCGCACACGTTCATCACTGGTGAAACCAGTCAGCACGGACGTGGTGCTTACAAGCAATGGCAGGTGACAACATGATAAAGGTTATTATTTCTCCGCTAATTCAACGTTAAGGATGTAAATACTAATGCAGTTCCATCCCAAGTGCAATGAGAGTTTATGCACCTAAATAACCAGTTACAGTTTCAGTCAATACTTCACGCGGATGGGGTGAGTGTTGGTGAATTTAATTTTTATTCACGCCGGCGATATTTCAGCCGTATTCACGGGGATGGATTAGTCGAGTAGGAAGATAGGGACCCCATGCACCGAAAGATATATTTTCTTAACCTACATTTTATATACGTAATTGTGTCTACTGGATGCATTTTGATGTTACCAAGGCGAAATATTGTTCCAAAATGTCCATTGGTGAGCATATTGGATTTCCGACTCCGCTACACTCAGACACAGCCTGTATATATGATACACACGACTCCGTTACACTCAGACACAGCCTGTATATATCATACACATTCCCCCGTTACAATCAGACACAGCCTGTATATATCATACACACGACTCCGTTACACTCAGACACAGCCTGTATATATCACACACACGACTCCGTTAAACTCAGACATAGCCGGTATATCGTGTCCGCCTCCCAGCCCATGTTCCGTGTGGAAAGTCAGTATATACACTCGTCACATAGAGTATCTCTTCCGTGTGCGGAGTTTCGGAAACAACGAAAGGATATCACAATGACATCATGTACACAAGCATAGCACTCGTGTCTGTCCACATCCGGTTTATGAATATTATATATGACACGTAATTACCAAAGTTAGACGACAATCACGAAAGTGAATCCAGCTGATTTGTGGGTCACAGCTTTCCTGTCTACAGCCAAGTATAACAAGCTTCTAAAACACAAGGTGGGTTTTTATTGTTTTATGGGGTTATAAAGTGCATGTAGGGGTACTACAAACTAGAGTGAATGAGAGAGGCAACACAGACTGGAGTGAATGAGAGAGGCAGCACAGACTGGAGTGAATGAGAGAGGCAGTACAGACTGGAGTGAATGAGAGAGGCAGCACAGACTGGAGTGAATGAGAGAGGCAGTACAGACTGGGGTGAATGAGAGAGGCAGTACAGACTGGAGTCAATGAGAGAGGCAGCACAGACTGGCCTGAATGAGAGGGGCAGTACAGACTGGAGTGAATGAGAGAGGCAGCACAGACTGGAGTGAATGAGAGAGGCAGTACAGACTGGGGTGAATGAGAGAGGCAGTACAGACTGGAGTGAATGAGAGAGGCAGCACAGACTGGCCTGAATGAGAGGGGCAGCACAGGCTGGAGTGAATGAGAGGGGCAGCACCGACTGTAGTGAATGAGAGAGGCAGCACAGACTGGAGTGAATGAGAGAGGCAGCACCGACTGTAGTGAATGAGAGAGGCAGCACAGACTGGCCTGAATGAGAGGGGCAGCACAGACTGGAGTGAATGAGAGAGGCAGCACAGACTGGAGTGAATGAGAGAGGCAGCACAGACTGGAGTGAATGAGAGAGGCAGCACCGACTGTAGTGAATGAGAGAGGCAGCACAGACTGGAGTGAATGAGAGGGGCAGTACAGACTGGCCTGAATGAGAGAGGCAGCACAGACTGGAGTGAATGAGAGAGGCAGCACAGACTGGAGTGAATGAGAGGGGCAGCACAGACTGGAGTGAATGAGAGAGGCAGCACAGACTGGAGTGAATGAGAGAGGCAGCACAGACTGGAGTGAATGAGAGAGGCAGCAAAGACTGGAGTGAATGAGAGAAGCAGCACAGACTGGAGTGAATGAGAGGGGCAGCACAGACTGGAGTGTATGAGAGGGGCAGCACAGACTGGAGTGAATGAGAGAGGCAGCACAGACTGGAGTGAATGAGAGAGGCAGCACAGACTGGAGTGAATGAGAGAGGCAGCACAGACTGGAGTGAATGAGAGGGGCAGTACAGACTGGCCTGAATGAGAGAGGCAGCACAGACTGGAGTGAATGAGAGAGGCAGCACAGACTGGAGTGAATGAGAGAGGCAGCACAGACTGTAGTGTATGAGAGGCAGCACAAACTGGAGTGAATGAGAGAGGCAGCACAAACTGGAGTGAATGAGAGAGGCAACACAGACTGGCCTGAATGAGAGAGGCAACACAGACTGGAGTGAATGAGAGAGGCAGCACAAACTAGAGTGAATGAGAGAGGCAGCACAGACTGGAGTGAATGAGAGAGGCAGCAAAGACTGGAGTGAATGAGAGAAGCAGCACAGACTGGAGTGAATGAGAGGGGCAGCACAGACTGGAGTGTATGAGAGGGGCAGCACAGACTGGAGTGAATGAGAGAGGCAGCACAGACTGGAGTGAATGAGAGAGGCAGCACAGACTGGAGTGAATGAGAGAGGCAGCACAGACTGGAGTGAATGAGAGGGGCAGTACAGACTGGCCTGAATGAGAGAGGCAGCACAGACTGGAGTGAATGAGAGAGGCAGCACAGACTGGAGTGAATGAGAGAGGCAGCACAGACTGTAGTGTATGAGAGGCAGCACAAACTGGAGTGAATGAGAGAGGCAGCACAAACTGGAGTGAATGAGAGAGGCAACACAGACTGGCCTGAATGAGAGAGGCAACACAGACTGGAGTGAATGAGAGAGGCAGCACAAACTAGAGTGAATGAGAGAGGCAGCGCAGGCTGGAGTGAATGAGACAGGCAACACAGACTGGCCTGAATGAGAGAGGCAACACAGACTGGAGTGAATGAGAGAGGCAGCACAGACTGGAGTGAATGAGAGAGGCAGCACAGACTGGAGTGAATGAGAGAGGCAGCACAGACTGGAGTGAATGAGAGAGGCAGCACAGACTGGAGTGAATGAGAGAGGCAGCACAGACTGTAGTGAATAAGAGGGGCAGCACAGACTGTAGGGAATGAGAGAGGCAGCACAGACTGTAGTGAATGAGAGAGGCAGCACAGACTGTAGGGAATGAGACAGGCAGCACAGACTGGAGTGAATGAGAGAGGCAGCACAGACTGGAGTGAATGAGAGGGGCAGCAAGGACTGGAGTGAATGGGAGAGGCAGCACAGACTGGAGTGAATCAGAGAGGCAGCACAGACTGGAGTGAATGAGAGGGGCATCACGGACTGGAGTGAATGAGAGGGGCAGCACAGACTGGAGTGAATGAGAGAGGCAGCACAGACTGGAGTGAATGAGAGGGGCAGCACAGACTGGAGTGAATGAGAGGGGCAGCACAGACTGGAGTGAATGAGACAGGCAGTACAGACTTGAGTGAATGAGAGAGGCAGCACTGACTGGGGTGAATGAGAGAGGCAGCACAGACTGGAGTGAATGAGAGGCAGCACAAACTGGAGTGAATGAGAGAGGCAGCACAGACTGGAGTGAATGAGACAGGCAGTACAGACTTGAATGAATGAGAGAGGCAGCACTGACTGGGGTGAATGAGAGAGGCAGCACCGACTGGAGTGAATGAGAGGCAGCACAAACTGGAGTGAATGAGAGAGGCAGCACTGACTGGGGTGAATGAGAGAGGCAGCACTGACTGGGGTGAATGAGAGAGGCAGCACAGACTGGAGTGAATGAGAGAGGCAGCACAGATTGGAGTGAATGAGAGAGGCAGAACAGATTGTAGTGAATGAGACAGGCAGCACAGACTGGAGTGAATGAGACAGGCAGTACAGACTGGAGTGAATGAATGAGAACGGCAGCTCAGAGTGGAGTGGAGAGGAGCTGTACATATAAAAATTATACATTTTGTTGAACTTCAAAACCGACACCTTAACATTTGATATCTAACATTTGACCTCTAACATTTCACGTCCGACGTAACCACCTCTTTTTCCGTGTTCTGAAGGTTGGCTACCAGACATGACCTCGAACAGAAGACAAATGACACAAGCTGACACAAGGTACGTTGTTTATCATTTCTAACAAAACAAACTCCAAACAAAAACCCCAATATACTTGATGATACGCCCTTTCGGGTGTAGATGCCATGGCGCTCAGAAACGACAAAACAATGTCACGGCAATGTATTTTACTTTCGAGAGTGGCCGTTTAATTTCGAGATACAGATGTAATATGTACTGGTCTGAATGTGTTGCGCTTATCGCCCCGAAAGGAAAGTTTACCTGACACGACCTGAAGCGGTTGACATGCCTCCTGCAGAGAGGTGTGAGTGAGTTTGATTTTACGCCGCTTTTAGCAGTATTCCAGCAATATCACGACGGGGGACACCAGAAATGGGCTTCAAACATTGTACCCATGTCGGGAATCGAACCCGGGTCTTCGGCGTGACGAGCGAACGCTTTAACCACTAGGCTACCCGACCGCCCTCACGCAGAGAGGGATCGTGTAGGAGTAAAACGATATGAGAATACAATACAAGAACCTGGCGATAAAGGACAGTACGATATAGAACTGCGACAAAGGACAGTACAATGACTAGAATATCTAAATTTGTATATAAAACTAGTATTATGGCATTATAAGGCCATACCTATTTCTTTACAGTGGTTTAATTTTAAAGAAATATAACAGAATATGTAATAGCAAAACCTTTTAAAATTGCAATTGGCAAGAATCGGTCAAAAATTGTTGGAACAATATCTGAAGATACACTAGGTGATGAGGAAAGCTTTGTGACTCTGTATTTCCCTTGTTTTGTTGTTTTACGCCGCACTACAGTAATGTTCCAGCTATAGGGCGTAAATAGTCAACGGACTGATATCATGAGTATTGTTATACGCAATTGAAATACGGCGTCATGCATCAACCAAATCAGCGAACCTGACCACCGATTTCGATACCTCTGTCAATGTAAGTGAGATAATGAGTGAGTGAGTGAGTATTGTTATACGCCGCTTTTAGCAATAGTCCAGCAATATTCCAGCGATATTCTGGGGACACCAGAAATGGGCTTCAAACATTGTACCCATGTCGGGAATCGAACCCGGGTCTTCGGCGTGACGAGCGAACGCTTGAACCACTAGGCTACCCGACCGCCCCTGAGATAATGAGGTGAGGTGAAATGGGGTTTAACGTCGCGTCCAAGATTATTGCACTTATATAGCGACGTGCATGCACGTGTATGTGTGTGTGTGGCTGCTTGTACTAGTCCGGACTGATGCCGATTTATAGTGCTAGCTCACTGAGATACCATGCCGCAGTTTAACATGAATACCCCACTCAGACATAGTATACTGACTCCGAGCCGACCAGTCCTTGTTTTAGCCCCTTAATGCCGAGCGCCAGACAGGGTAACAACAAGTACAATCTTTTAACGTCTTTTTGTATGACGCGGCCCGGGATCGAACCCTGGACCTTCCGCTCTCCGGGCGGACGCTCTACCACAAGACCACGGAGGCGGTCTGAACAATATCTGAAGATACACTAGGTGATGAGGAAAGCTTTGTGACTCTGTATTTCCCTTGTTTTGTTGTTTTACGCCGCACTACAGTAATATTCCAGCAATAGGGCGTAAATAGTCAACGGACTGATATCATGAGTATTGTTATACGCAATTGAAATACGGCGTCATGCATCAACCAAATCAGCGAGCCTTACCACCGATTTCGATACAGCTGTCAATGTAAGTGAGATAATGAGTGAGTGAGTGAGTAAGTATTGTTTAACGCCGCTTTTAGCAATATTCCAGCAATATTCTGGGGACACCAGAAATGGGCTTCACACATTGTACCCATGTCGGGAATCGAACCCGGGTCTTCGGCGTGACGAGCGAACGCTTGAACCACTAGGCTACCCGACCGCCCGTGAGATAATGAGGTGAGGTGAAATGGGGTTTAACGTCGCGTCCAAGATTATTGCACTTATATAGCGACGTGCATGCACGTGTGTGTGTGTGGCTGCTTGTACTAGTCCTGACTGATGCCGATTTATAGTGCTAGCTCACTGAGATACCATGCCGCAGTTTAACATGAATACCCTACTCAGACACAGTATACTGACTCCGAGCCGACCAGTCCTTGTTTTAGCCCCTTAATGCCGAGCGCCAGACAGGGTAACAACAAGTACATCTTTGAACGTCTTTTGGTATGACGCGGCTGTGGATCGAACCCCGGACCTTCCGCTCTCCGGGCGGACGCTCTACCATTAGACAACGGAGGCGGTCCTTGAGATAATGAAGTACAACAGAGGAACGTACTGACAAGTCATGTTTTGGGTCGCATTTATACTCAAAGGTAACAGTTATTGTGACATACAAACATAAAGAGAATCTGTCAAAACATGGTTACTGCCGAAGATTGAATTGTATTAAATGAATGGTACGGTAAAGAGCAATAGTCAAAAGAAAACGAGTCATGTCACACGCTTGGGGTCAAAGAAAGATGACACAGTCCACCTTGTGCACGGATACAATCCTGACACAATCGAATCACGTAGGACACTAAACGTTGACGAAATATCTGTGGAAATAAGCCGGAGTTTTTGGAGGTTAAAGAAGACGTTGTAAAGATCTTTCCAAGTCATCCCAGACACGTTCGATTGTGACAGATCAGGTGATCTTGCAGGTCAGGGTAACACATTAACATTGGTCTAAGTAAGATACTGGTGCACGACCCCATCAACTGTGGTCTGGCGTTATGCTGGAAAGCCACAACGGCCACTGGAGGCTTTGACGTTGATGTGCTGAGGTCAGGACTGGCTTCCTGGTTTGGCGCCTCCCAGGATATCGTTGATGCGTTGACATCATCTGCCGGCCTTGCAGATAGGCACTTGTTGTCTGGAACCTGTGTCAAAGATTTGTGTTTCTAATCCATTCGTTTTGGCGAAGAGTTGTCACAGGTTGGTCACCTCTACGGGGAATACCTCTTTCATCAGCCATCATTCATTTTCATTTAGTCGTGGCATCGTGAAAAACGATCATGAGATGTGTTTTCCTTAACTACGCTCCTCCGAAGTTACGTAGAGTGGCAATGATAGGGGACTGGATAGCAAGTCTTTGCACAGAACATTTGAAGCAGCTCCTTGCAAAAAACAATTTACTTTTGTATGTCATGTGGTCATGGGGTACATGTTTAACTGTTAGCACCGAACAACTGTCAGACACCACTGATCAACGCTTACTCTCATATATATGAATACTCTTGTATACTCTGATATCACCAGAGTTTACACGTGTAAAAAAGCAAGTTACCGCAAATTGTGTGTCTGTTCATTTCAATGACCTCTTTTTCAGTTACCATTACATCTTTATATGGATGCCTCTTGGAACCAGTCAGGTCGGTCACGCATCTCTATATCTAAGCAATCGCCAGTATGTCAGTTGGTGGCCTCAAGAAGAGAAAGCAAAATGTGGGATTAATATGAAAGAAAGTAATTGCAAAAATAACCTTCAGGAGGACGTTGAAGAAGAGGGCATGGATCCTGACTATAGATTTATGATACCGTCCACAACATTAAACCTGGCTAAAATGATGACGTATTGGAACAAGCAAAAGAGCACGGGTCACTATTCCTTACTGGATCAAAACTGTTGCTGGGTTCTGTACCAAGTTCTACATGCAGGAGGAGCTCCAAAGAGCCTTACCCTTCTTTGGCGACCAGAAACTTTGCGGAGGTATTTGGTCATTTATCTGGGCGGTGGATCAAGGTTTACGTCAATGCTCAACATGTCAGGCTGGGATTCCCCTTTCAAAGGTAAACATCTAAACCTGATGAACACCTTTTCATATGAATTATAATAAAGCAAAAACAATTGATTACAAATGTTCCTGTATGAGCAACCATTGGCATTGTTGTAAAATCTTAATGTTTATGGTGTCGAATGTATTCATGTAAATGTTTGCAATGTTGTTGTCAGACAACTGAGGACCCTTGTGTTCCGAATATGTTTCATATATCTCGATAATCTCCAACGTGAACCCGTGAAGATCCGGGGTAGAATAGGTCTTCAGCAACAAATGCTTGCCGTAAAAAGTGACAATGCTTGTCGTAAAAGGCGACTAACGGGATCGTGTGGTCAGGCTCGCTGACTTGGTTGATGCATGTCATCGATCCCAATTGCGTGGATCGATGCTCATGATATCAATCACTGGATTGTCTGGTCCAGACTCGATTATTTACAGACCGCCGTCATATAGCTGGAATATTGCTGAGTGCGGCGTTAAACAACAAACAAACCAACCAACCAATGTGTTTCATGAATATATCATAAACATAATTCACAAATTGAAATACTTTGATACTGTTTCAGAGAAAATCACACTGTATACATGGAAAGCTAGGGGTGGAACAGGAATTCACCATGCACTTTTACTTGATAACTCAGTGTATGTAAGCTGGTGGCCCCGTACCTCACAGGCAGCAGGGCATGCTGCAAACAACTTGATGGAAGATCGGACAAAGATGGACAGAGTGGAGGATGAGACATATATCTTTCCTGACAATGAGTTGGAGTACCATCTCATGAGGAGACGTTGGAAGCAAATGACAGAATCATCTGAATTGTGGGGAGCTAGATCGGACTGGGTCATACAAGAAGTTCTGATTGCAGGTGGTGCTTCTAATTTCCAAATAGTTGAAATAACGTTTGCACACAGAATGTTTGAAAGAGAATGATGACAGGGAATAACTGAAATGTTTCTCGGATGAAGTGACATAAACAATTCTAACTTCTTTGTGAGGCATTCAGAAGTTGGAGTATTTAGTAAGGATGAACAACTTCTTTAATACACATAGGAGCCACGTTTCGGTGTAGGTTCTAACACCGTTAACAAGAAAGTATGGATGACAAGCATATATACATGTGAAGGTAGAGTGTATACAGTTGAATGGATTGGGGTGTGGTTACGGTGGAATGGAGAAGCCTGTTATGTACACAAGCGGGTAAAAAACACGCCAATAACTTGGGTGAGTGAGTGAGTGAGTTCGGTTTAACGCCGCTTTTAACAGTATTCCAGTTAAATCGCGGCGTGTCAGCTTAATTTTTGGAGGAAAGCCCGAAGTGATGCAGGTCTAACACGTTTACCACTTCGGTGAAAACCACGAGCACGGGTATGGTGCTGACAATCCTAGAAACATAATCGGGGCGAACCTGAATTCGAACCCACGATCATAGGTTTCTGGTGTGCCCAAGGGACGCAACTCTGCACAGCGAATCGCGGCGCCTTAGACGACTGGGCCACCCGTGCCCCCCAGTACATCAACGAAGACTAGTATACATAAACAAGGGGGTGAAGCCAGTAGTATAAACAAGAGGATTACGAATTATTGGAATCTTTGGTGAGTTGATGGTACGCCTAGGGTACGTAACAGCCTTGATCATGGTTGATCGATGGTTGTAGTCCTTTGAAGGGGACTTTCTATTCTTAAAGTCTTTGAGTCTGTGGCTTTTGTTCTCATGGGTATCGTCAAATAAAGCCGATTTTAAGACAAGTTTGGACACAGATCTGATGTTCTTTAATTCGGGTTTTGAGGGGCCTTGATGTTTCTGCAATGTAGGCATGTCAACAATTACTCTGAATGTGGTACACAGCTCTCGATGGTTCTTGCTGTTGGCTGAATGGTGGTTTTCCTGTGGCTTTGATTGTGTTTTGAAAACTGTTACTTCTCTTAAAGACGACATCAATGTTGGCCTGTTTCTTTAGGACTCTCTGCATTTTATGGCCAACAGTTCCAAAGTAGGGGAGACTGATGACAAAGAGTGCAGACTGTTGTCAGGGAGATTTCTGGGTTTTCTTGGTGATTGTTTTGGCGATGCTCCGTATTGTCTGTGACAGCAGCTGTTGTACAGTGTGAAAGCTTGTTTGATATAACTGTGTTCAGTGGTAATGTGTTGCTCAGTAAAGTAAATGTTGTGGGCTCGTCTTGCTGATTTCTTTCCTAACTTGAGGTGGACGGTTGGAGGAGAAGTGAAGGTACTGATCTGTGTGGGTTGGTTTGCGGTGGTCTGGAGCTGGTTATTATTGGGGTTTATTTGTATAAGTACATCAACGAGTGAGTGAGTTCGGTTTAACGCCGCTTTTAACAGTATTCCAGTTATATCGCGGCGTGTCAGCTTAATGTGGGAGGAAAGCCCTAAGTGATGCAGGTCTAAGACGGTTACCACTTCGGTGAAACCCACGAGCACGGGTATGGTGCTGACAAACCTAGAAACATAATCGGGGCGAACCGGGACTCGAGCCCACAATCATAGGTTTCTGGTGTGCCCAAGGGACGCAACTCTGCACAGCGAATCGCGGCGCCTTAGACGACTGGGCCACCCGTGCCCCCCAGTACATCAACGAAGGGTATTTGACGATCAGATCCTCTTTTCCATGGTGAACTGCATGTGTGGGTGCAGGGTGTTAAGGTGGCCTAGTAGAGTTCTTGGATTCTTATCAGGATGTAGGATGACAAAGGGGTCATCTACGTTGCAGAACCAGCAGATGGGGGTTATGTGTTTTTAGGGCTTTTTCGTCTTGGTGGGTCATGGGGATCGGTGATTAAGGGTGATAGCGGGGATCTCTCATGGGAAGACCTCTCCAGGTTAGGTATGTGGAGTGAGTGAGTTGGGGTTTACGCCGCTTTTAACAGTATTCCAGTTATATCACGGCGTGTCAGCTTAATGTGGGAGGAAAGCCCGAAGTGATGCAGGTCTCTGACGTTTACCACTTCGGTGAAACCCACGAGCACGGGTATGGTGCTGACACACCCAGAAACATAATCTGGGCGAACCGGGATTCGAACCCATAATCATAGGTTTCTGGCGTGCCCAAGGGACGCAACTCTGCACAGCGAATCGCGGCGCCTTAGGCGACTGGGCCACCCGTGCCCCCCCCTAAGGTATGTGGAACTGATACAGGCGTGTATAAGCCGGGTAATGCTGTCAGTTGTTAGACGGGTGCCTAGGGATGGATGGACTCCATCAATACGTGTAATGATGATGTCACTGGCTTCATCCCGGGGTACATTTGTGAACTGGTCGACAGGGTCATAGCTGTTCACATCATCGCCCTGTTCACAAATTGGGAATTTATCGAAAAGTGTTGTCCTTGAAAATTTATAATAAATATGCTTGCCACAAATACGACATTCTTACAAGGTGTTTATCTTTTTCACACAATTCGGCTCATAGTTTTAAATATAAAATTATTTAAAACGTCTTGGTTCACGGATGTTAACCTAAAACAATATTGTTGGTTTTGAATTAATGTGGATCCTTTAGCATATTTTGAAGGTGAGGTGAAATTGGGTTTAACGTCGCGTCCAAGGTTATTGCACTTATATAGCGACGTGCATGCACGTATGTGTGTGGCTGCTTGTACTAGTCCGGACTATTGTCGATTTATAGTGCTAGCTCACTGAGATAAAATGAATACCCCACTCAGACACAGTATACTGACTCCGAGCCGAACAGTCCTTGTTTAACCCCTTTATGCCGAGCGCCAGACAGGGTAACAACAAGTACCATCTTTTAACGGACGCTCTACCGCTAGACCACGGAGGCGGTCAGCATATTTTGAAAGGCAAGTTAGAAAATCATCAAATCAGAAAATATGTAGTCAGTCATATATTACACGACCATTCTCGACATGGCTTGGTGGAAATTTCTGGTCAGTAACTTCGACAAATTTAAATGACGAGTTACTTTATTTAATGTGTTAATAGTACCTCAATATAGACATGTCCAGGTTGAAGGTCCAACAAATCGGTCATTTTTAATTAATCAGGAGGTCATATAACACTGACCCGGAACTGTTGTCAATTATTGTTACCAAGTCGATAATTCGACAGTGGATGATACTTTCTTCTACGAAGATTATAATATCATATACATAGACGTAAGTATCATCTACGTAAGTGGTATTTATAGTTTTACAATGTGACACTAATTTGGGTCCATATGCAAGAATTTGCATTTAAAACACGGAGATGTGGGTAAGAAGTTAAAATTAAGCTTCAGGTATATCGATGATCTGATATCATTCAATAAAGGCCAAATGGCTAATTTCCTTCCACTGATTTACCCACCTGAATTAGAAATAAAAGAGACATGTGAAGTCGCCATGTCAAAGAGCCTGACTTGAGTCCCAAGTTGTTTTTTTCAGGATGACAACAGACAGACAGGCAACTTATACAGTAGATGGCCCACAATACATTAACAAGGTGCATAACGCTTGCTTGAGTAAAATAAGGTGTTAGGTGTTTCTTACGGTGGCCCATAAGGGACATGGAGTCTGTTTTTCAATATTTTGATATTTCACTTCCTGTTATCGTAACCTTTTACAAGTTAACACGATTTGTCATACAAACATGTGATAATCACGTATAAAGAAGATATTGAATCGCTGAAAAGTGAAGCGAAAATGTCAAAAACTAAAATGAAAATGTCAAAAACATTTTTCATTTTAGTTTTTGACATTTTCGCTTCACATTTCAGCGATTCGATAGCTACTTGGAAGTACATTTTCCATGTTTTCGGTTGTTTTTATACTTGATTTATCACATATTTGTATGACAAATTGTGTTAATTTGCAAATGGTTACGATACAAGTAAGTGAAATATCAAAATATTGAAAAACAGACTCCATGTCCCTTATGGGCCACCGTAGTTTCTTAATGTGAAGGCTTTTGCTAAGAACACACCCATATTATGAAGGACAAGATTATCACCTGCTTGCATAAGCTGAGAGATTTTCATATGGAACCGGAAATCCAATGTAATATAGCAAGAGGTAATGTCTCCCTGCATTGGCACATCGTTCACAAATATACATCACATGGTATTCATCCTCAATATACTCACAGTTTTGGGGCGATACATCAATCGCAGAATCGTTCATCATAAAGGCTGTAACTGTCTCTCAAGCATCACATGTAAGAGGAAACGATTACATCTAAATGTTTCAATATATATCTTTGTGTTATGTGGGATATTACTTGTTAAATAAAGTTACCCGTTAAGATCCGGGGTAGAATAGGTCTTCAGCAACCCATGCTAGCCGTAAAAGGCGACTATGCTTGTCGTAAGAGGCGACTAACGGGATCGGGTGGTCAGGCTCGCTGACTTGGTTGATGCGTGTCATCGATCCCAATCACGTGGATCGATGCTCGTGATGTCCATCACTGGATTGTCTGGTCCAGACTCGATTATTTACAGACCGCCGTCATATAGCTTGAATATTGCTGAGTGCGGCGTTAAACAATAAACAAACAAATGTTAAATAAAGTTCTGTGTTTAGCATAGAATGTGAAATGAACACAATAATTACATTTCGAAGATAAGTCCATTGTAATATGCTATTCTTGACAGGAGGCGGTCGGGTAGCCTAGTGGTTAAAGCGTTCGCTCGTCACGCCGAAGACCCAGGTTCGATTCCCGACATGGGTACAATGTGTGAAGCCCATTTCTGGTGTGCCCCGCCGTGATATTGCTGGAATATTGCTAAAAGCGGCATAAAACCACACTCACTCACTCACTCACTATTCTTGACAGGTAATGTCTGCTGGTCCTTTCTGAAATTCCTTAAGGAATAATATGATATCACTGATTTCTTGTTGAATCCAGACCTGTCCAAAACCTTAATGGAATAAAACGTTACCCATTGATGAAGCCCACGTCACTCTGTCCACGTCATCGAGTTATTTTAACATTACGAAGGCTTGTCGAGGTAGTCTGTGAGAATCAAAATGTCTGCACCAATATTTCTCTGGTCTAGTCATATAGACAGACTGTAGATGGACACTCCCCAAATATTAGATTTATTTTCGAAGAGAAGCTGCCGTTTGCAGAAGGATATTTGGACATTTGCAAATAATTTGTTGCTCGATGTCATCCATACTGCGTCTCCTTAACGTTAATTCGTGAATTTGTTCTCCTTTGAATTTCTTTGTAGCTTGTCGGGGGGCACGGGTGGCCCAGTCGTCTAAGGCGCCGCCATTCGCTGTGCAGAGTTGCGTCCCTTGGGCACACCAGAAACCTATGATTGTGGGTTCGAATCCCGGTTCGCCCCGATTATGTTTCTAGG